CGATGTAGCAATCGATTTCTTAGACTGTCGCGCGAGTTTTTATACGTGTGGCGAATCATGCGTTGATGCGTTGAGTGTGCGGCGATTATCTAGTCGCCCCGCCGGACCAGCTGACACGAGGAAGCAGTCGCCCGGGTCAATTTTCTAATCGCCACTGGCGACTGGGCGACCGCTAGTTTCTCACGCGTGCATTGGCTAACGAGGTTTACCCTGGTCTGACATTGACTTCCACCTCCTCATGTTGCAGTATCGCAAGCAGCTGAAACTATCGACGGCCGACAAGTACAAGAACAAGCAGGATGCGAAGACTGCTCATCAGTTGAGACATGCCAAGCAAGGCAACACGTACAAAGTCAATCCGACGACGACATTATTCCAGACGTTGCCACCCGGGGGGCCCGTGTCGGGCGTAGAGAAAAAGATGTTCTCTCGAAAGCGGTCGCTTGTAGAAAAATCGGCACGGTAAAGCGTACACCGTGACCGCGTGCCGGAGAGGGTGCAGGGTGAATGGCATTAACCAGGACTGTCTGCATGGCTGTAACTAGAGCGGCAAGATGCAAGGTACATCAAGGCATCTACTGGGATCAAGTCCACGTAACTGTAAACAAATTATGGAGCGTGGTGCGTGGTCAGTGCGGGTTACAGGCTCTACTGGGATGTGTGGCAGCAGGTGTATCAGTAGGAAAACCCATGACTGTATCACGTGAGAATTCTCATCCTTGTGTCCTAGTAAAGAAGCGAGACCACCGTGCTTTGACATAAGTAAAAGGAGGGGGAATCAGTGATGCAAAAATTGTACACATGTATGTTAAAATAAAATGTGCCAGCATTGTTCAAACACAATATTGGCAAATTGAAGTGTGGCATTTTCTCTGAATGTATTTGAACAAACATGGCCGTTACTGCTGTTGTCACGGTATAGGGAATAATAAGACGCTCAGTATTCGCGAGTATGATCGTTACTAGCAAGTGATTGCTAATCATGATCTCTGTGATTAAACGCATTTCTAGAGAATAAAGGACCCATATTATCTAGTAATATTTGTGTAATGCTATATCTATGGCATGATCGCAGAGTAATATGTTTGTTATCAAATATGCTGACAACTATACAACTGTGTATGTTATAAAGAGAACCAAGATGAAAATTCTGTTGTATAAACAAATGATTTTTTGTGTTTTTTTTCACACATGTCTAACAATATTAACTACAATACATATGGGCTTACATAATCTGCTCCACATTATACTCCAAATTCAGTGGTCAAATTTTTCAGTTTACATATTTAATTAATGTTTTGCTTACTACGAGTGACAATTGGACCCATTCTCTAAAATAAGAAACAATATTTTATAGACAGTAATTTTTCTATGACTACTACCATCTCGTTACTAAAAGGAAGACCACACTATCAGAAGTATTTCTGTAATGGCTCTCCTAGAACCTTCTCCATCAGTTGAACAACGTCTTGACAGTATCGCTCCACCTCTACGATTCATCTGCAATAGTAAACACAATTGACATTAACGGTACATCAGCCAACCTGTACTGTTAATATTATCAATACCTTGTTCATATAAACTTCATAAGCCTTATGGTATAGAAGAAGGAAAGCCAACCAAACACGTGTGACAGTATCGCACTCATTCTACGGGTTGATTTGTTTGAGTGTTTGTTAAACTACGACATACAACTGAACAATATCTTTGAAAATGGGTAAAATTTAACAAAAAGCTTGTTTAAAGCTACAAACTGAAGCTATTGAGTATTAACATGAATACATTACAGAATCGATGCATGTATTTATGGTATTAACGTTGTAGCAATGCGTTTTGATCATTCATTACTGTGACCTTGTGAGCTCTGGCAATACACATACCTTCCATAAGTTCGGCCAAGGAACGGCAGCGTTTCTGGTAGAAGATTCATATATTCTTCCCCTAACTTGTGCTGTGAATTGTTCACCACTTTCAACGCCCCCAGCCGCCACCTAAAAACCAACAGCTTTAGTTCTACTTCCTGATCATGATCACCTGCACATACAATCTCTATACTAACAGAGACCCTTATAAGGTGTTACCCCAAGCTCCGAAACAAAATTTTGTCACACAATTAATATAAGAGTCACAGCAACTCACTGTAGCTGAGGCATGTCTCGACTTCAACAGAACTTGGTAGTTCAGTTGTTTCCAGAGGGAGTCATCAGAGGCTGCTACAGCAAACTGGACGAGGCACGGTACCAGTGATCTTCTACTCTAGCATTGTACAGCGCTTCTCCACCGCAGAGATTCTCCAACTAGAAAGTATTAACGCCACAAGGTGCTTGAAAACTGCCCAACAACACAAGTTTAGACTTAGCAACTACGTAACAACATAAACCTAACAGTATTATCGGTATTTGATTGATATATAGACAGTGGAGTGTCTTACACATACCAGGGTAACTGATTTCTCACTGTTTCGCCTCTCATTTAAAAAAGTTCTACATTTCACATTTACCTAAAAAATATAACACATCCCAGAGTAGCATCACTTGCCTTTACCCCGCCACTATGAAGATAAACTAGTCATACCTGGTCAGCGAGTGGATGCAATAGAGGCTTCGAATTCTCTCCTTGTTTACGAAGCCCTGGGTGTCATACAGGAAACAGCTGTTGTAGGCAGGAGAGGATGAAACCCAGCAGAACAACACTCTTCTGCTCACTTGCATCATCTCATCTTCGTCAAAGTAAGCTTCGTCTGTAACAGATGGGCACGTATACAACGATAAAAAATTGAATGCTTTTATTGTGGTTTTCATATTCATGAGTAGGGCTAAATTTCTGCTCCTGCTAAACATATTTAAGCGAAGCGCTTGTGAACTTTCTTTCTAATCTTTGATGAACATACAGCCAACAAATCTTAGTAAAACAGCTTTGGCTCTTCACTAAGTATGGACAATCAGAATCCAACGCCAATATCATGTGTCAAGCTCACATCAAGACATCTCAAATGATTAACAAAAGCATGAATACCACTAACAGAAAGCAAATTTACACCCAACACTCGTCTGCATTGGTTTCTCAGCACAAGATGAGAATTGAGAAATTTCTAACATTATAGATAATAGTTTGAGTCCCTCGATCCTACCTGTGTTAATGCTGTGTTTGTAGCTAGAAGTGTTGCAGCATTGGTCACGAGGTGGCCAGCAAAAAGTACAAACAGCTCTTCAACTTATCTGCAATGCTGGAAAATGATATGACAATAATTACTAATCAAACTATAATATATGCAGCAAATACAACCTTGGCTTTATTGGAATAATGTAACAAGTTATAGGAATACTGCATAATATGCTGTACATGGACCAATTTTAATTGTAATAATCAAGAGCGTATAAAGAAGAGAGCGTACAACGGTGAATGCTGAAACCATGTTGCAGTATTAGTCAAATAAATAACATTCCCAGTTTTATTTTGACGATTCTTTGCAGTATTATGATCAGCTGTCCTACCTTGCTAATATAAAACAAACCGCTTGTCCTACGATGCCCTACGCTTAGATAATGAGGGTGTAAAATCTGGTTTTTTTAGCCAAAATCCGAATCAGATGACTAGGCACTGCAACCATCTCTCGCTTTGTGGCCAGTGTGTTGCTTCCGGTCGCTGCCGTGTAGCGCCATGGTAGCGCTGACTCACGTCATACTACCAGAGTTTACTATACATCCAGCGTGAGGTGGGCGTGAGGTGGGCACAAGTGGGGTCGTCACTACGGCAATCAATAACAGACGTCATTCATTCCATTTGTCAATCATTGACGGAAACACGCGAGGTCTCCCAAAGTTATCTCAAGCGAGAGATGGTTGCAGTGCCTAGTCATCTGATTCGGATTTCGGCGAAAAAAACAGATTTTCACCGCTCATTATCTCAGCGTAGGGGCATCGTAGGAACAAGCGGTTTGTTTTATATTAGCAAGGTAGGACAGCTGATCAATAATACTGCAAAGAATCGTCAAAATAAAACGGGGAAAGTTTATTTATTCGACTAATACTGCAACATGGTTTCAGCATTTCACCGTTGTACGCTCTCCTTCTTTATACGCTGTTACATTATTTATAATAATTTCCAATTAGAATATGAATTTTTATATACCTGGCTACCAGTCTGTAGAAAGTCAGTACCCTGCTCCTTTGGTGTTTCTGGTCTAGTCGCCCAGTCATACAACTGAAAAGGGAAAATAGCCCATCAAACATTTCCAAAGATGAATCTACTACGTGAACATTCTATTTAGCCTTAGTAAGAATGATCACGAAAATAGCACAACTGTTGACAGAGATGATATGATATTCAACCAATTACGATTATTTTTCGTTATTCTTATTTTGTTTATTAACGAGAAACTTGTCTTGCGGCGAAGAGCGATTAGACTATGACCTTGTATCTCACCTTGTAAAACATAGGACGGAACGTTTGCTCTGACATCTTCATCACCATAGCTAGAATGGCTTCAATCACGTGACTTCCACTTCCATAATAACATCAGTGGATTCCTGCAAAATGAATTATTAAAGCACACGTGTACATAAGAGGAGAAGGAAGATGCACATTACATATGTATAGCACACACTAATATGATATCCATATATAAATGCTAATCCAAACATCACATGAAATGTCCATTAACTGTTGTATGATTCAAAAACTGTTATACATAAAAAATAAACATTTTATAACCTTAATTTAGCCACTTGTTATAGGTTTTTGTAGAAATGCCAAGGACTCGATCACGCTTTGAAAACAGCGTTAATCTAGTCTCAAATGATGAATAACTATGAATGTAACACACTCACAAGTGCTTATCTATACGACAATAAGCAATCACTATTGTACATTTTACTCATTATGAGTTAGACACTTCCCATTTGTAAACGCTGTCAATTTAAATTTTTTCATAAACAGGAAACTTAAGAGAGGACTGCCACATATTGTGCAGCACAACAACTTTCACTGTTTGTTGCTAGCAGTGTTTGTTGCCAGGCAGCAACACTTACGCGTCGGATGCTGTGTCCGGAAGTCTAGCACATTCATGAAAAGACTAACAATCTGTTGATGATGACCAGTCAGTTCGTCCTTGGACATCGATGATAGACGCTCACTTAGAATCGACATCAAAAACCCGATGGCTTTCTGCAAGAAGCCAAGGTGGACACTTACCACACAGTGTTCAGAGCACATATCCAACATCATGTACTACATTCAGCTCCCGCAACAAATGATGCTCGAATGCCTGATTTGAAACGGAATACTAATGTATTTTCGTCACGTGTAAGCCCAGATTAGATAATTCATGAAATTAAAGTTACACATTTGCTATAAATATTATATATATTGTGCAATATAGGTGAAAGTTTGCTGCCGATTCAGTTTTTTGTAAAAAATAATTTTTCCATAATTATAATCATTTAGCAGCAGCTAGGAAAACCCATACCTTCCCTGTAGAGATCAGTTTTGTATAGCCTTGTGTAATGGCTGGCACCAGCACTCTAGGTGCAACTGTTGTTGCCAGATTGTGTCTGAAATCAGGTAAAATAGCAAGGTATTGACATGAGACTTTTATCAACGTCAATAAAACTAGGAACACATGTATACGTGCTATTATATATGGGTTTATGCATGGTTAAACATACGACCAGCAATAAATTGTTTGTAACTGCACATAATATGTTCAGCTAACCCTGTCCTGCATAAGTAGCACAATGATTAGTGTCAATTACATAGCCTTGTACATCGCTAACTTCCTTTTCCTCTTTGCCTCCATTCGTGTGGCACATAGGGCCTTAGCATGCGTGTGGCTTTGGTTTCAGTGACACAAACACAGGGTGATACTCCATTAGGCAGTGTTCCCAACTTTAATGACATTAATGGTCATAATAACATATATATATACATATATATATATATGGTCATGGTCATATATTAGTTTGTGGTTTAATGTCATTTAGGTTAGGGTTAGGATTAGAATTATCAATCATTAATCATTAATGATATCAAAGTTGGGAACACTCCTAATGGAGCGTTAGCCCAAACACAAAACAGGCTTTGTCCAGCAAGGCAACTAGTTGTTAATTAGCAGGTAAGGATGACACCTATTTCTACAGTAGGTATATTGACTGAAGCAAATAGTGATAAAGTGTCTTGCTCAGAAGCACAACAGCATGCAGTGACCACAGTGGGACACAAATCCCAGGCTTTTCAGTTTGAACTGAAGTGTGCTACCCAGCAGACCACCAACTGCATGCCCTCTCTCGCTTTCTTACACCTGACGAATACGCCATGAATGGGGACAGCATACCTGAGGGCCTTTAGACGAATGTGCAGATGTGCTTCATGGGTGTTTACTCCATGTTCAGAGCTAGACAACCACGATACCTGCAAATCGAATAAAGATCTGCTCACAATCCAGAAATGCAGTAAAGTTATCAACAGTAGGAAATGAACAATATCAACGACCACACTATCAATCCACGGTTAAACGAATTTAATGCTGAACGAGGTAAATTGATCAAAAGGAATCCATATTGCCTCCTACATTAGGTAACCAATTAATAGTTTACAACGAACAATTGATCATGAATGTAGTTTCTTTTGATGATAAATGCTTACCCTAAAAATGATTTCCTCCATGTATGGACTGAGGAAGTTTGGCACACTCTCCACAATCTTATGCAGGCAAGTAACACTACTTAGCATCAGGAGATCGTTACTGAAATCAAACAACATATAACACTTAGTATATTATCATTAGCCATGAGCATATAGACGACATCAGGTTTTTTTGCACCACTATCAGTTGTAATCAGTCAAGTTATAATCCGAATTTGCAATATGATAACAATCACCAACTATTAGCAATAATAATATAAAACTATGAGAAAGTCAAGCACCAACAAGATGGCAGTAATACTGTTAAAGAAGCGACAGCGAGAACTTCACCATCTTTTATGAATGCAAAAATCACACATCGATCAGATCTTTACATCCAAAGCAGCACCTATTCACACTAGCAGGTCCATACATGTGCTGACAATTTTTTTGTCATTATTAACCCCTGATCTGATATGTACCTTGCAAGTTGCTCGGCATCACTGAGTACGTTAAGCAGTTTTGGCATCATGACAGATAGAGAGCTGATGGTGTGTGCTTTCAGACAGGAACAGAGCTCAGCGAGACAGAGTAGAGCACTCGCCAGCACGGCTGCGTTCAGACCTGCCTCGGTCACAATCGCGATGACAGCGTGCAGCACCTAATAAACATTTCACATATTACTCCACCACAGTGATCACTCAGCGGCAAATAGGTCATCGGAACTAGCATTAACACATTCGTTATTATTCAAGTTTTCTTAACCGTAATAAACAATATAAAATTATGATATAAAATAGTGTTCATAAACAATTTTTTGTACTAAAAATAGCTACAATTGTGGAATCGGCTATTAAGTGCTCGACTCCGTAATCATTCCAAAATACCCTATTCTGTTTAATCCGTTCCATCACAAAAATTCTTCTACGAAGACATGAAACACGTGCTACAGGGAACGACGAGGGCAGCACCAGCAACTATGGTGACCCTTTACAAGTGTAATGCTTAGCGGAGGATGCTTCTCACCTTCTTGAACGTATCCGGATGTTCGTCACCGAGGGCTCTACACAGCAGTTTCAGGGAGAAGAGTGCAGTCTGTTTGTTCACAGCCATCTCCTGCCCACTATCCTGCTCCTGTGCTACAGCCAGCAGCTCCGGTACGAGTGCAAGCAGCACCGGCACCTGCACAACACACGCGCACACATGTGAGTAGAAGAAAAAGCCCGCGAGTAACAGGAAAAGTCCACAGAATCTACTGCAACATGGACAACTTACGTGCATATGTGAGTAACAACAATTAAACTACCGGGTACTGCAAAATCGACTGCATGGTTTTCTGTAGTTACATGTGGTTGAAATGCATGACACACTATCTGCATTGTTGATCTGCCTACTTGATCAACTTTGTGTCTTTGCGCCTTCGATGTAGTGCCTTGGACTTTTTCGACTAATATTTATGAGGTTACACTGCTACATTCGACCTTCCAAACGTTCAATATCTGATCGCACAGGAAGCTCTAAACACTCGGGAGATAAGTGATGAAACTGTCTTACAGGAGAGAGATATTTTACATTCATACATGCACTAACGTACGCACCCACACACGCACGCATACACATACATACACGTATACATGTACACATGCACACACGTACGCACGCACACGCGTATGCACGCATGCACGCACTAACGCACACACTCACGCACGCACACACGTACGCACGCACACAAGTATGCACGCACACACGTATGCACCCACACACATATGCACGCACGCACGTATGCACCCACACACGTATGCACACACGCACGTACGCACACACACACGTATGCACGCATGCACGTGCGCACCCACACACGTACACATGCATGTACCCATACACGTACGCACGCACACACATACATGCACGTACGCAAGCATACACATGCACGGACCTGCTCCTGCTTAAAGAATGCCTGTTGTTGGTAGAGCTGTGAATGAAGTCTACTGTTGAGCAACTCGAGGGCTTTGCGGCGGATGGACAATCTCTCGTTACCCATCAGCCCTTGAATGACGGACAGGAACGCTTCGCTTGGCAACAGCGAATTCACCTGTATACACACACACACACACGGTTGTTATTACAGGTATTGACAACAAATTTGTCACTAAAAATTTCACAGATATTGATGACAAATTTGTCACTAAAACGGAAATGCAATTACACACACGGAAACAAATGCAATTAGAACCGCCACGATATACAGACTCTGCTGGAAAATCTCCCACTCCTCTGTCCCAACCCCCTAAATCGTATAGACGCACATATATGTCCATCGCATGTTCAGTACTCTACGATGTGCCCCACACTCACCTTCTCCAGTACATCGTACGCTTTGTGCAGCAGAGCCTTGTGGAACTTGCCGACGGGTTTCTGCGTGGCCGTGTCAGCCTTGCGAGCCAGCTGATAGATGGCACGCAGCGTTTCCTCAAGCAGAAGCTGGTACACGGGTTTCATAGCCTCTGCGCCCACATCGCTCAAGTTCACAACCTTCAAAACGGCACATCGTTACAGCAATGCGCATCGTTACAGTAACAGTAATCGCACAGGCCGTGTGTTTACTCGCTACCAGATAGATGAAAAAACAATTGCAGTACAGGCTGTGCTTACTCGCTACCAGATAGATGAAAAAACAATTGCAGTAGAGACTGTGTTTACTCGCTACCAGATAGATGAAAAAACAATTGCAGTACAGGCTGTGCTTACCTACTACCAGATAGATGAAAAAACAATGGCAGTACAGGCTGTGTTTACTCGTTACCAAATAGATGAAAAACAATTGCAGTACAGGCTGTATTTACTCACTACCAGATAGATAAAAAAAACAGTGGCGGTAAACGCGGAAACACACCTGGGCAACAAACGCGGGGCAGGACAGCAGCAAGGTTGCAAAGTGGATGCTGACAAACTTGAAATGTCTCAGTTCTTTGGACGTGTGCTGGCTGACATGGAAGAGCTGCTTCGTGGACTCCTTCATGCCACGAATCACCTTCTGCCGCTTCGCCGGCGTCTTTCTGACAGGTGTCTGCTGGTTGCCATGGGGATCTGGGAGGGTGAAATGAAGTCCAAATTAAGATTAACATGTAGTTTAGCAATATCAGATCGTAATTATTGTTTATGCTTATTTAACTGTGGGTACGTGTGTGTGTCTCTCTGTCTGTCTGTCTGTCTGTCTGACTGACTGCCTGTCTGTCTGTCTGTCTGTCTGACTGCCTGTCTGTCTGTCTCTCTGTCTGTCGGTCTGTCTGTCTGTGAACAAATTCCTGCATGCACGTACACACACACACGCATGCACGTACACACACACACACGTATGCAGGTAGGTACACACGCCGCCACGTGTCAACTAAATACAACATACAGGGTGCACGACAAGGGAGCATCTCGCCACCTCAGCAGCCTCAACCTCGTTTACAGGAAATGCATTTGTACCGTCCGACTTCTCCTGAGGGAGAGCCTGCATGTGGGCAAAGAGACTCCGCATCGCTGACGCCTGGGTGCTGGGAGGAAACGCCGCACACAGCTCCAGGCAGAACTCCAGATCTGGATGCAGGGAGGTCTGCATCATGAACACAAAGAGTTACATAATGCAGAGCATGGTTAGATCGTGTATCAAATGCTGGCCGTATAGTTGAGTAAATATTTGTATATATATATATATAACTATATATAAATAGTATAGTTTATAAGTTTGAGTCTTTCAGTGAGTTTCAAGGTCACAAACAAGATTGGCATTACTAACACAGGTGCAGAGAGACGTAGTCTGTAGGTCATCTTTATAAGAGTTAAAGTAAATCAGTTTTTTTTCAGCCCAGATGTTTGTAGAATTCAAGACTTCCAGCATATGCCAACAGACACTCTGTATTCACGTAATAAATAGTAGCAACTATATGTACCTTGTCATGTCATTCTATTTGATAGGCATTACTAATACAAGGGGCACAGTCTGACCGTCATCTTCACAAGTGATGAAGTAAATCATTGTTCGTCGGCCCAGACGTTTGTAATTAATAACTTCCTGTATATGCACACGTATATTCGCGTAATAAATAGTAGCAACTGTCACAGTCTGTACCTTTTCGTGCCATTCTGGCACGTCGGCTGCCGTCTTCGTGACATGCAGTTCAAACAGTAGTGCGAGAACCGTCCACAGATGGCGCCGGCTGCCGACGGTGTTTATGAGCTCGGTGAATAGAGGGAGCCTGCGGTGGGCGGGAATGTGCGGAAAAGCATCGACAAAGACCTGGACGATAGAGACAATCATGTCCGAACACTCCTCTTCTGATTGGCTCTCTTCGCTGGCCTGTGGAAGACCAGTTAAAAAAAGTTAAATCCTTCCCGTGCCTATGTGGAACATAGGGGCATATGGCGGTGCCTATCTATCCGTTTCCGTAACCCTGAGGCCCCGCAGCTGCTTTCACAGTAAATGCTACCGTAGGGGGTTAGTCCAAAGCTCCTCTTAATTCAAAATAAAGATAATTAAATCTTGAAATAACTATAGCTTATTACGGCTAGATCCCAGCATGTGTTTTACATGTTTAACGATCACCTTAGGAAATCTATTTTACAACCACGACCTTGTCTAGTGACGGGCTGACAATAACAATTCAAAAATCATCAGTAAAATCAATTCATCAATTCATTTGATTTTTTTAAATGAGACATTTTGTTAAAAAGAGGACTCGATCATCACATACCAATTGACCTTGCATAACCAAGACCTTGCTTGACCAAGAGACCTTGCATAAGATGTGTAAACCACTATCACAAAACGAGAATAATCGTGTATAACAAGTTAATTGTACCTTCACCATCGCAGGGATCACCGTCTTGACAGTGTTGCTGATCACTTGGAAGCTGTAGCTATCGTCCTGTCGCAGCAGGTTCGCTCCCATGAAGGTGAATATGGACATGATGTTGTGCAACACATGCACCTGTCACAGAACGCCATAGCGTACCGTCAATACTTACCATACACGCTGATGAGATATATTATTATGAGATATATTATTATGAGATATATTATTATAAGATGTATATATTATCAAGAGCTAATAATTAATGTATGATTAATGATTAGGTCTTGATATTATATAAAATGGCAAGAGCATTGATTGATCATGATCATGCATCATGATTCGTCGATATTGAAGACTTGATTAACGAAGGTGAATGCATACGTGACCCACTTCTAGCAACCTGATAACACCCTTTTAAACTCCTCACACCATTGCAATCCACAGAGAAACCTTCATACTGGTTTTCAAACCTACTGAAAATTTCCTAAACCGACGAGCCGCTACCCACATGACTGCTAAACACATAGAAACCCTTAAAGATTTCCCACGTTTCCGGGAAACATAAATAAAACCATTAAAAATCCTCCCACCTATCCAGGAAACAACTATATATATATACACTTAAAAATCCTCCTGCCTGACCAGGAAACAAATAAATCCATAAAATATCTTCCCACATTCCAGACAAACACATATAAACCCTTAAATATCTTCCCACATTCCCGACAAAAACACACATAAACCCTTCCAGTACATTTCCCCTTCCCCTACAGACACCATACGGAGTGCAAGACTCAATGGGAACATCTGTGCAGTGACAGTGAACAGCATGAGTGCGTGCTGGTGCTGGTGCTGGTGCGTGGAAGGGTTCTATAAAAAATATCTTCTCACCTTCCCGACAAACAGCCACGTATACGCCCTTCCCGTACACTTCCCCTTCCCCTACGAACACCATACGGAATGCAGGACTCACTGGGAACATCTGTGCAGCGACTGTGAGCAGCATGAGCGCATCCTGGTGCGTGAGAAGGTTCTATAAAAAATATCTTCCCACCTTCCCGACAAACAGCCACGTATACGCCCTTCCCGTACACTTCCCCTTCCCCTACGGACACCATACAAAGTACAGTATAAAGCACAAAGCACTCACGGGGAACATCTGTGCAGCGACTGTGAGCAGCATGAGTGCGTGCTGGTGCGTGAGAGGGTTCGCCGAGCCACGGATGCACGCGACAACAAGCTCGACGTTAAACTGGCGCGGCGCGAGCGTGGTGGCGTCGACGGGCGCGTGGTCGGGCGACAGACGCGTGCACGCGTGCTGCACGCACGACAGCAGCAGTTGTTTCACGTACTCGCTAGATGGCGTCACCTCCATCTCTAGGCACCTGCGCAGATAGTACAGTCACACACACAGTCGAATAACGAGAATAGATCGGAATGAATCCGTAGATTTATCGACAGCTTAGAGCCAATTCTGATGCTAAAATACACGAGATAGTTGCACGTAGGAGATGCGATGAATGCACGACAGCAGCAGCTGTTTCACGTACTCGCTAGATGGCGTCACCTCCATCTCTAGGCACCTGTGTGGATAGTATATAGCTACACTAAATAACTGAAATATATCGGTATGTATCCATAGACTCATTGACAGCTTAGAGCTAAAGCTAGTACTAAAATGTGCGCATAAATGCTAACCTGTGCGGATAGTATAGCCACACTAAATGAAATACATAAGAATACATCTTACAGATCGTGAAGTAAAAATGTAGACTTATTGACAGCTTAGAGCCTAATCTAATCTTAAATGCACAAGATACTTGTGCTTGGGAGATGCCATGTACGCACCGTCTAAGTAGGTTGAACAGAGACGGCACAAGCAGCTGGCTATGTAATTTTTTTCTTTTAATTTATTCCTTCTAATGCTAAAATGCATGAGATACTTGTATGTAGGAGATTCCACACACGCACCTTCCGAGTAGGGTGAACAGACAGGGCACAAGCAGCTGGATATTGCGTATTTTTTTCTTCTGGTGCATGACCTCTAAGATCAATATCACTCGTCGCCACGGCCTATCGTCAATCAGTGGGGTGGTAGACTCACTGGTCTCTGTAAAACAAACACCATTTTATTCAGAAACGTATTATCAATTATAACCAAGCACAGCACTAGGCAATGCAATATTTATATAATGATATTTACAGCATCAAGCTAGCTAGTAATTTTGTGAAATTAATTTTCCAGTTCACCGTTACACGGACCATGTTTTTTCTGGAAGATAGTCCTTGTAATTAATAAGACAACAATGCTGCAAAACACGAACGAAGCATGAGTTACCCCATACAAATCCAACAATTACAATACCGACCACAAAGACGAAGTAGATCTACAAGACTCTAGATTATACATCAGGCTGCCTCTAAAGGAATGCTTCCCCGTGACACATGTAAAACTGCATCACTACAAGCGACAAGTGGAAGCGTCTGCAGTCGACAGAACCAACAAACTACTCTACCGATCCAACCTTCCCCTCCTTCACCCACCCCCACCCCTCGCGCGAACACAGATCCACCGCACCCCACCCCCTCCAGCCACGCACCCGTCTCCATGGCAACCGCGTCGCCGCGTTCGGCCGCCGCCCGCGTCACGCGCGCGCTCCTCGGCTTGCGTATGGTGGCGCCCTCTGTCGCGTAGAGCCGCAGCAGCTTGTCGATCTCCGCGACGAGGCGCGGCGCGTCGAGTGCGATCGTCTTGAGCGCGCGTCGGACGTCGTCGACAACGTCGGCGTCCGTGCCGTCGACGAGAAGGTCGATCAAGGTCGCGAGCAACGTCTGCTGTGCGGCGGGCGACATCGCCGCAAACGCCAGCTTCGTCAGCTGCGGGGCAAACGAAACGACGGTATATTACAGATCATATATATAATAATAGACTATTATTCACTATATTCACTATTATATATTCACTATTATTCACTAATAATCTATTACTATTTACTCCTGATATTATTATATATCGTGCTACTATTACTTTTAACTTTTTTTTACATTTTTTTACGGGCGCCGATTGTAAATGACGTGATGTGTTGTTACTACTCGCTACACGTGTGCGTGCGTGCGTGCGTGCGTGCGTGCGTGCGTGCGTGCGTGCGTGCGTGCGTTTACATGCACCAGTCGCTGTGTCATGTATAGTGTTGAAGATCGGTCCAAATTTCATGATCGATCATCGGTTTTACAAAACGACCGATGATCGATTAATCATCGATCATTTTAGATTGCGGCAGTGATGCCGCGTCATCGTCGACACAACCGGTGTATTACGAAGAAATATTGACATTATTGTATGTGTAGCTAGTATTTAATGGTAAGTAAATTAAAGATACTGTTAAGGTTACGGACGGGTAACACTCTAAAGGGCATTGCAACATAACTGCTCATCAAATTTAATCAAACTCATATCCATTACATAAGAGAGATGTCTTTCTATGCTATCGATGAAAAATTTTTATTAAAAATTCATCGCTAATTAAGTGACGGCAAAAATTGTGAATTTATACAAAAATGCTTTTTTTGTTATTTCTCAGAAACAGCAGAGTTGGGACCTAAACTTTTAACCATAAGTTGTCCATAATATGAACAAAAAAGGGTCCCTAGAATTTTTTTTAAATGCTTTAATTTAGGAAATAAGTTGAAAAGATGTAGGAAAATTTAGGATTAGGCTTGATTTTCAGGAAACAGTCGCTTAGTTCCTTAAAAATTTACACCACACCGTGTTTAGTAGTATATGTGTAAATGTATGTACTTGTGTCAAATCTGGGGAAAAAACAAAAAAACAAAACAACGTTCGAGTTGTACTCGGTCGTCCGATTTTCTACTCGATTAATCAACTCGGCAGCCCAAACGAGTAATGATTGACGAACTCGATTAATCGGAACACCACTAGTCATGTATCTGTGCTGTCATGTCATATATGCTTCAAGCACACGCAACAACACACCTGAGCAAATGCCATCGCCTGCGGGCTGAGCATGTCCGCCTGAGGTCGACGGGGGGTGAGCAGCGCTTGTTGGAACAGCTGGAACAGCTCCAACTCCACGCTCAGAATGCCGGCCGTAAGCTCCGTGAACTTCCGCAGGATGAACTGCAGCGACGCCACCTGGTGTCGGCTCATGCTGGCTGAGTCGTCCCTCGCCAGGGCCACCAGGCGTGCGAGCGGCGGTTGTAGAAGTAACAGCACTTCCTGCGACGACAACAAGTAAACAAGGTAAACAAGCATAAATAAACGAGGATGCCGAATGGGTTTCTCACCAATCAACAGCATCAGCGTTGACGCTCGTTATGCAAACGCCTTGACGAGGTAGTCATGGCGCCCTGACGTCCTAACAGTGTTAACAATTATAATTTTGACTTTGTAAATTTAATTGTAATATTTGCTACCATGCTCATACACAGCATGCACTACTTGTGGAAATCAATGCTTCCTAAACTGTTGCAACAAGAAACTAATGCTAATTCGTTTATATAGAAACAACCTACAAAACAATTTAACAATTAAACATGAACATTCTAATCCTGTATAATTTAGTAAACGTAAACAAGTATGTCTGATCTTTAGAATGAAATTTGCACACACACGTGCGCACATGCATGCACGAACGCATGCACTCGTGGCCACTACATGGGGTAAAAGGTGGCACGTGGGTGCTTTTCTAACTGAATATAGCATCAGAGCTACCTGAAACAGCTTAAACTTACATTGCTGTTGAGTTCAGATAGACACCAGAGTAGTTTCTCCTGCACAAAGTCGGAAGTTTCCTCACTGGATGCACACAGGACGATTCCCTCCAATACTTTGGAGCCCATCTTGGATTTTGATACAGACTTCCTCCTTTTTTGCGGGGATGCAACATCGTTGGAAAACAGATCGCGGAACAGCTGTGGCACACAAATAAAAACCCCTCTACAGAGAACAGTTGAGCAAAACTAAGACAATTAACATCATGTATATATATATATATTAGTATTCATAGTAACACATACATATACGACATCATAAATTGACAACACATAAAATACAAAAACAGCTATACCTGAGGTAAATAGTTCCTGTCAGCTATTATTTCCTCAGCTCTCTCGCAGAGAGCCTTTATCAATACACTATTAGTATAATTGTCGTCCTTGCACACAGAATTAACTGTTTGCAGACATTGTAGAGTGCAGCTCCTGATTGGTTGAAGAGGCGATGCCAATGCCACTAGGAGAGATGGCAGCACTATAGTAAAGTAAGGAAACAATAGTTCAGTAAGTGTACCTGTGTCGTGTTAACATTTAATAACAAATAATCAAATAGTTACTTTGTCACTCACGAGCGACAATGATGACAGACTAGGAAAAACCGAAAAACACATAGCGTTCGTCTTAGCTGCTGTATGTAGCAGAGATATAGCATGAGATAAAATCACCACCCAACTCGCTTTACAAATTACAGTATGATTGTACTTTAGCTGCTTATTTCTAATGCGTTCTTTAAAAGTTAAGATTTGAGACTCTGTGCTTTAAACACACCATCGCTAGAAATTGACAATGCAGTCAAAACATCATTTTTGGTGGCCATCTCAAGCGCAACCTTGCCGATGTGCAAAGCTCGTATCTTCATGATGGGCGTAATTTCCTGGACTGCTGGTGTCTCACTGTAGGGGGCGCCACTGGCCCAAATATTGCCCAGAAATGAGAGCAGCATCGTTTTACCACCAAAGTGGTCCTGCAAAGAACAGATCGATTAGCTGGTTGATTATATTAATATAATATATATGCGATACCACATACTGTTCCTGCTTTTCATATACATATTTACTTCTCTCTCTCTCACTCTCTCTATATATATATATATATATATATACACATAAATTATTAAGTACATAAGTAGTTCTTGGTATATTCTTAGTATGTATACTTGGTTCTTACATTAGATAATATATTATATTATATATTATATAAATATTTTATTATATTCTGTGCTATATCAATATGTGCAAAACTTTGATAACCTTAAAAAACATCTGTGAGAGCTCTCTGAATTCTGCCACGTGATGGCCCTCACTGGCATGTGTGGTGAGGAAGCTGTACAGCTTTATCACCATGGAAACGGATTTCTGCAGTGATAAATGCTCGTCTGCCATGGTGCACCACCAGACTTTACCTGCAGTAGACATGCTCATATACAATATTCATATACATGCTCATATACAATATAATATACTCATATATATATAGGGGATGTATGAATGAGATATAAATAATAACTATTACCATATTCTGCAATGCCTAGAATAGCACATACAAAAGTTTCAATTATGTTCAGGCTTTTTATACTCTCACCTTTTACATTCAACACAAGCAATGCAGATATTAGTATATATCAGATGTTTTTATGACTAAAAAAACATAGCACATGAAACAATAACTATATAAAGCACTATAAAAAGCACAATGCAAATAATCCCGACTGCATACGTACTTTTAAACTCTTCTGGAAGAGAGATGTTTTTTACGAGCGTTTCCGTCATGGAGCGAACGACTTCGAAGGGGAATACGTCGGACTTCAGCTGTGTGAAGATGTCGCCAGACGTAGTAACAGATCTATCCTTGTCTTTCTCGCGTGCTGCCAGATCCCTGAGTACAAACACATACACACACTCAGACATGCATAGTACAAACACATACACACACTCACACACACATAGTACAAAGTTACAAACACATACGCACATTCACACACGCACAGTACAAACACATACACACATTCACACATGGCACATGCATAGTACAAACACATACACACACTCACACACACATAGTACAAACACATACACACACTTACACACGCATAGTATAAACCCATACACACACTCACACACACATAGTACAAACACATATACGCACACTCACACACGCATAGTACAAACACATACACACACTCACACATGCATAGTACAAACACATACACGCACGCATGGATTTTGGCATTACAGCAGAACAACACGGCTGCTTCGAAAATAGGGAATGAGGAAACGGGTAACATGAACGTAAAATCACTCAATCCCCTCGTGTTCAGCGAGTTTACAGCGCATTTTAGCACTCTACTAATATTATAGAGAATAATACTGTCGCGCTTGCGCGTAACTTCAGTTACTAAAGCCCTGCACACACGTCAGGTATTTTACTCAAGTAAAATGACACATGAGTCAAATTACACGAACGAAATCGTCATTCTTACTCAACGAAAATTCCGCCGCACACGTGAGTAAAATGACTCATGCGTCATTTTACTTGAGTAAAATAACTCACGTGTGCGCCGGGCATACACACTGATATTTTCGCTAAATACTCACCAGTTTCCCTGTCTCCACAACTGCGGTGAGCAGAGCGAGCAGGGCAGATCCAACCTGCACCCTCTCCTCGTCCGCTTCGCTCCGAGACAACACGTGACACAGCACACTCATGACAAGCCACCTCAGCGCCATCTGACGGGGAACCGCCTCCGCCGCAGCAGCGACCAATACCTCCAACTATAACAAGCGATCAGCACAATTTTGAGAACACACGAACGATAAGCACAATTTTGAGAACACACGAACGATAAGCACAATTTTGAGAACACACGAACGATCATCACAATTTTGAGATGCATTATCATCACATGTTAATCAGTAGGGTACATGTAACGGGGGGCCTCCAGTTTCATCGAGCTTCATTCTTCATTGTTGCACGACGTCATTCTGTCTCAAGACAATGTTCGCACCAGCTTTAACGTCATATCACATCCAGCATTACGAATATTTATGAATTTTACTGACCATTGATTACTTATTATCGATAGGGTACATATAACCGAGGGTCCTCCAATTTCATGGAGTTTCATTCTGTATTGTTGCACGACGTCAACTTAACTCGAGGCAATTTTCGCACCAGCATTAATGTCACATCGCATCCGGCATTATGAATATTTATTAATTTTACTGAAGAAGTCATTAACAAATGGCAATTCCTTGTAGACTGATTACCGTTCTCGCACGCTCGGATGATTCCATGGCCAGTACGGCGTCGCTCACGTGCTGAACTAGTGTCAGGTTCACCTCGCTCTTATATGCCTCCGTCACTTCCGACTTTGACTCCACCTTTCCCAAGGCATCCGCCCAAGCACCTAAATGAATTGTGACATCGTCAGTCAATCGCCTTGTGTACACACCAAAGATATTACAGAAACACGTACCACAGAGAACACATACAAATCTAAAAATAAGCACTTGAATACTTTTTTTTATTTTCTCGACATGAACAGTCTGACAAAACGAATCCGGCAGCACTATGACCATAAAGAGATCGATATTGTAGCCACACACAAACTTTCCAAACCACACCTTGCCGCCAGAACGTTATGACGAGTAAATGGATACAACCATGCATGGTTTACACAAGCACAAATAAATGCCAGGTAATGAAGCCCCCAATTCCTCTAAAAAGCTAGAAGAGATCTATACAGCAACGCATGCGCAGCGGGGATACCAACAACGCGCACCTTTTTGCAAACCTGCCAACAGAGGGTGCTGACGAGCAAATGCGGACGACGTTATTGATTTCGCGAGCTTTCGTGAGTTGGTGGTGACCAACACGTGGCGCATCACTAGAGCGGCGAGCATATCGGGCTGTTCAACTGTCAGCTCAGCTGAACATAAGAGCATCAGCGACCGACGCTGCACTTTACCCCTGCAGCAGAACAACAAAGTTGTAACGGAGATGAACATATACCGCGCAGCCTATAGCGTAAAGCAGGCGATATTTTTATGATTCAATGGCAGCTCGCTTATTAACATTTATAAATACTTTAAGTGCATATAAGATATATTGCATTAAAGAAATAGTCATGGGTATAGAATATGCATACCAATGTGGCCTGTGTGTAAGGCCCACCAGTGTGTGAAACAGCTGGTCACTGTCCTTAATGCTCCAAAATTGCTGGCAAAAGAATATTAAATAAAAGTAAAGTAATGTACCATTACCTCTTAAATGGCATATTCTATCACTTGAATATCACTACTCAAAACTCACCCCAAAGGCATTCTAATTATTTTAGATACAATGCTATCAGAATAGATTACATTAACTTTGTGCATGAACACTCAATGCTTCTTTCTTATTCCAATTTGTGACATTTATATTTTACTTTATCATATATATTATGTAAATAGTGGTCATACACATCGAAATCAAAAAAGATCATAACTTGCATAGGTCATAGAATATCATAATGGAATAATATCATGATTTCTTCAACCAAGCGCTACACACACACTTTAGTAGTATTTGTCTATGACGCCATAACAATTCCCTATACCTCATCGTTAAGGACAGTGTAAACGACGGTGTCATCTTCGTCTGCTAGTCGAGCCAAGATAGCCTCTCGAACAAAACCGTCATCCGTGATCTAGGGAAAAAGTAGAATCTCAATATCACGAGGACAGAAACAACGTGATCAATAGTGGGAGTAGGCATGCTTACCAGCGGAGTTTATCAGAGCAGACTTATACATAACTAACTATGCATACATAACTATGCAAATGGCACTATTTACGTGCATGCATTCAAGCAGAGGTGGCCTGACTAGATATAGCTGATAATTAGGCCAACCTAAATCTACCTAAATATCATCAGCACACTTTCACCTGAAAATAACTCGACCATCTTTCACATCCCAGAATCTTCGCTGCATAGAGTAATTGCAGGTAGAGCAACGCAGCGGCACGCATAGATGTTTTTCGGTGAAACATTGTCGCACTGACGCGACACGCACGCTACAAGACACGTACCTGTTTCAGCCTCCAAGCTTTGTACAACTGCTTCACCGCGAGGCATCGCACGACTGCTATGGGATGCTGCAGGCCCAGCACCAGACTTCCTCCAGCGATCATCAGCTGCAAACAGTGCAATCATATTTCACACACATTGCCACAGAGCACTCAATTCGTGCAACTAAAACTCCATGCATGAAAGAATAGATAGGAAATCTGATCATATTGTTTATGATTGAATTGTTAATGTTGTGACGACATTATACATTTGGACGGATAACAAGAAGAGAACCACTTCAAATGCATGTAAAATTCTTTTAAAATGATGCTAGTATTTTTTCTAAACACATGTATGTACGCACGCACACACACCCGCACGCACGCACGCACGCACGCACGCACGCACGCACGCACGCACGCACGCACGCACGCACGCAC